GCCATCAAGGACAACATAATTTATTTGGCACTGCCTGAGGAGCTCTAGCACCTTTCCTCATGTCAGCACACCGAACAGCCTCAGTTTTGAGGCAATCTTTATTGCCATCTTTGCTGAAGTGGAGGTGCAAACTACACCGACTTGCCCAGGGCCACCCATAGGTCACACAGGCAAAGTCAGAAAGAGAACCCACACCTGCCAGCTTGGCTTTTTTTTTTTTTGGCTTTACCAAATGATCTTATCACAAGCAAGGGCACTGGGATATAAAGTTAAGAGTCTTAAAGCTGTCAAGTCTTGAAACCGAAGCATGTCTGAGCTGGAGATGAGCGAGCCGTGCGGGGAGGGAGCGCGATCGCAGGCCGCGCTGGCAGCGCCCGAGCGGACGGTGCTTCTCACACACCCCACAGCGCTCCCGCCCAGCGGGAGCGGCCTCGGCCGCCTCAAGCAGGCCACAGGCCCTAGCACATTACAGGGAAAGCAAAATGTTAAGTGAAATAATTCCCATCAGCTGTTCTGGAAAGCCACCACGCTTCCCTGTCACCCACTGCACCAGGAAGGGGTGGTGGGGAGAGCAGTGGAAGCAGCACAGGAATGATCCCACCTCCAGCAAAACAGAACTTCCCATAACAGGGAGATCCTGTGTTTGGGGAGTTCCCAGACAAGTAAGGTATTGAGTTAACGTGCCTAGATTTACATTCCTCCCAGAGGGCCACATTTCCTGTATTACAAACCCCACACGAAGGGGAAATTAGTTTTTTCCTTCAATGCATGGCTGTGTTCCAAAGACCTCGTCTTTCCAACCATGCAGGCATTTCCCTGGGGACCCCGTTTCCTAGAGGTCCATGTTCCCCTCACACCCAGCCCTCAGCTGAGCAGGGTTACAGCAGGGGCCTTAACTGCTCCAAGGAATCTCCAGGAGGTCTCCAAGTCTGATCCTAGCCAGGAACCCCACAGAGACCAGCCCCACTCCACACCAGCCACAGAAATCCTTTGCAGCAGGCCCCTAAACGAGGGGCAGTTTCACCCCAGCTCATTGCAGCTGCTGGACGGTGAAGAGCAGGGGCGGAGCCCAGCCAGGGAAGCACTGGCCACACTGCAGGGTTTGGGGCCAGCCCCATGGCAGGCAGAGCCCCCCAGGGTGCTGTCCTGGCCCATTGAGGCCTGCATCATGCCCAGGACTGCTCTGCCCCTCCAGAGAGGGACCGACCCCCAGGTGCCTACGGGAGCCACTGGCACCACAACAGCACCAGGCCAGACCCAGATGTGAGACACTCCTTCGGACAGTGCAAAGCCCCAAAGCACAAGGCTCCCACCAGCTCTCAAGTGCAGGAATCAGACTCCTCTGCTGTCAGAGTGTGGCTGATGCTTCTTCCCCAACTCCAAAATACTGAGACTTATCAAAAATACAAAAAACCAAATTCCTGGGGGAGACATTTCAATGTCATCTCACACTGCAGAAGTCAATAAGCTGCAAAATAGAATCAAGAAAAAAATTTGTGATCACATGTGACCAAATCCCAGGGGATTAACACATTAATTCACTTCAACAGCAAGTTAGACTGGTTCTGATCTCCAGTGCCCAACAGACCTTTCTGAAGAGCCCACTGCCCAGCAGCCCCTTCTGTTCATGCAGCACTCACATACAGGAGTCAATGGCCAGAGCACAAATCCGCATCTTACAACTGTTTGCTACTTCTCATTGTAGATACTTCCCACACTCATGTTAACCTCCCAGGTCCCTGCCATCCACAGAAAAAGCCTTTGAGAGGAGATATGACCCTCCTTTACTGGAAGCAACTCACCTAAGTCTATGGGGAAAAACTTCAGCTTGAAAGCTGAAGGCAGATAAGGCTACATTGGGTAGCACGTCTGAGTTTCTTGAATAGCACTTACTGAGCCCAGAGGGGCTAGATAACATTTGTTTTGCTGAGGATGCAAAACAAGCATCCTGATCAGCAAGGGAGCTTGATAGCCCAGAGGAGATGGCAGTGTGGTGGTGGAAGGTAAAGAAAGCAAAGCTTCACAAAATAAAGTTCAGTTTGTAGAGAATCAGTGTGTATGTCCTGGGCAAACTTGGGCAGCTCAGTTCACTTCTATATGCATCTTAACTGGCCTTCACCTCCAGAACCCTCTCTGAGGACAGATGAGGTGGCCACAGCTCATGCCCCTGGCAGAGAAGTTTGTACAGAGGTCCCATCCTGCTGGGACAGTCACAGCAGCTTGGGAAAGAGCAGGCAGCCCAGAGTGCAGGGCAGCACAGGGAGAGGATGCGGGGCTGACAGCACTAGCAAGGCAGGGCCCTGCACCACGCGAGCAGAGGCCACAGAGGCTCAGCACGGCCAGAGACTTTGCAGCTCCAGGTACAGAAGAGCTTGTGAATTACACACTGCTTCCGGGATCCAAGTGGCAAGGCTAAGAGGTGCCCTACAGGCAGCAGTGAGATCTCTGCAAGGAGCAGCAGAATAAACCTCTTAACAGATATAAGAACTGCTACTGAAAAAAGAGCCCATGAGAACAGTATTTCTGCATCCTCCTTCTCCCACTTTACTGAATTCAAGAGTTTTCTTAATGTAGTTGAAGAATAATATAAATAGTAAACAATGCACCCATTACCAAATAAAAATAATTTACACTTCTTCAAGGTGAAACAACACACTTGCTTCCAAACAATAAGTAAAGATCCCCTTTCTTGAGCCATCTATCTCGCTCACCCTCTCCCCAACAGCTGTACAACTTCATTTCTGCCTAATACCTCTGCAGATTTATTGGATGCCCTGCTAGAAAGCTCTGATTGTTCCCTGCTACAGTGTTGTGCCATAGGTGAGGAATGTGGGTGGGATCTACAATATTTTTATGACTATTATATGACCTTCTTCTAGTTTGACAGGATGAGTCACAGGGCTCTCCCCCAAGAGGAGGACAAGCATCCCTGGAGACAGGCACTCTTGGGCAGGCAGAGAGGTCAAAGCTACAGCAGACCTCGAGCACTGGTAGGAGTTTTACTTATGAATTATGAATTTAGCTACTATAGGCTGCTATTTTGGGAGCTAGTGTAACATCTAAGAAGCAGAAGGATCTCATCAAAATAAAGGGCATTATGCATCCCACTTGTCAAGAGACATGAAGTTTTTAAATCCCGGACCTGAAACAGCAGTGATTTGTTCTGCCTGATTTATCAAGGTCACAAAACAACAAAGCAGAATCTGCCTCCTCGTATCAAGAAGGGCTAAACTCCCAGTATCCCTCCCACAGACACAGATTAGATTACTTACAAACATGCACTGTCTTCCCTCATTTCACTTTACAGGCTGGATGTGATGTTTGGTGGCTTTTAACAGAACAGGACAATGCAACACTGACATAAAAAACATTGCCATGTTAATGCTTAAGACTTTGCATGCAAACATGAATTTAAACCAAATTAACTTCATTTTAAAGTGGAATTATCAGCTTAAGAGACTTTAGAGTCAGTAAAAGAATGTCACTTCTAAAGGCCTCTCTCCTCTCTAGATTTCTGAAAATAAAAAGGTTAAATTTTCTTCAAACTCTCTGCCAAATTTGAAACCAGCTGTACTATAAGTTGTAGGAGGTTTACAGTTCAGCTGTGCACATCACAGCCATTTCCCCATCAGGTAACTGGCAACACTGCCAAGGCCATCCTAAAAAGGTGCTAAGCCACGTGAACAAGTGACAGTAACAGAGACTGACATGCCCTGACACCCCAAGCAAGAGGCGCTTCCTACAACCTCAGCAGGACATCAGCAAGGCAGGCCATGTCCCCGGCCCATCTCAGGCTCCAGACCCAGGCAGCAGCGAGCAGAGGAGACTGTTGTTGGGGAACTGAGACCAAGCAGGGAAGATTCAGCACCTTTTCTCTCCAGACAGCTCAGAACAGTGCCACAGCCTGGACACTGCTTTGCTCCACAGTTTTTCACCAGCAAAACCCCAGAACAGACCAGAGCATCTCGGACTACAGAATTATTCCAGAAAAATAAGCCCTCCTCATTTTCTTCACAGTTCGTGCTGTTCTCAGAGGGTGCTGGGGCAGTTTGCCTCCTCGAGCAGGGGGTCCTGGCTCAGAGCTAATGCAAACTGGCTGCCTGGGGGCCAGCAGGTGGTCTGCAGAGCCTGTTTGTTTGTGTAGGGAGTAATCCCAGCCCTGGCAGGTAAGCAGCATTTCACCCTTGCTGCTCAGAGTAACTCAGCTCACAAATTGCCTAAATCGGCAGCTATGCAAAGTGTACTGGGGATGAGACACCCGCGTGAGGCTTGAGGAGGGTTCGCACATTGGCCCAGGCCAAGAGCACAATCTCCCCAGCACCACTCACATCCCTGGAAAAGACCCTGCTGCTGCAGAGAAGTTGGTGGTAGCAAATCCCCTCTGTTCCTTCCACATGTGCAGGAAAGAAATATCTTGAAAGCTTGTTCTCATCCCATTTTAGAAACAGAACCAAAATTTTGAAACATCAGATTCAGCAAAGTGGAATCAACAGTTGCTGCCCAGTTAACCAGCACCTCTATGACCAAAGTCCATCAACAACACCAAAATCCACTGCTTTATGTAGCATAACAGTCAAAACGATTTAATTTTCTGCCTCATCTTAGCAGCAGACTTCACTCTCAACAATACAAGTATAAAGCAGGAGCAAAACAGCTGTAATCAATAAGCTCAACAGTTTCACCTTTACTCAAGGCTCACACCTGACAGAGCACCAGCAAGCACCAAAAGGCTTGAACATCTCCTGCAAAACACCCTGTAGCACCTGGGAAATGCCTTTTAATACAGACTCTGAGCCAAGATGAGCAGGCCACAGCAACAAGGTTGCTTGCTCTGGCTGAGGGTATCATCTGACCCCAGACCTCACAAATGTCCCAGGGACATTGCAGTCAACCCAGGCTCCAGGCCCTATATTGCCCAGCTGAACTAGGAGCACACAGGCTCCTGCCCACACTGCCCCCAACTCCAGCCATAGGACAAAGCTCTGCTTTGAGACACTCACCTTCAGAGTCAGCCAATTCAGGTGTCTCCAGCTCCTGCTTCCAAGCAGTGTCTGCTTGCAAGGCTGCACTTTCCTAAGGGAGGGAAAAAAGAAATCCTTGAAGATGGCAGCTTGATGGGAATCTGCAAGAGCAGAAAAGAGGCAACAGTAGAAGCAGCACTGTCACTCTGGACACACACCTTTAGTGCTGAACAGGGACACCAGCCCAGAGCAACAACAGAAGGACAGACCTTCACCTCCTTTCCCCACCATGCTTCTCAAAGCAGCACAGTCTCTCCCAGCCATAAGCTACCTCCCCTACTTAAACAGATCCCAGAAACCAAACAGCTCCCAGCAAACTTTTCCCAGCTGCTGCCATTCATATTTAAGTATCCTGCCTGCACCCATAGGCCAACACAGCCAGCCAAGACCTCTCCACACCTGAGATGTGACCTCCCCCAATGGCTCTCATAGGAGGAGCCAAAGTGGGTTTCTAAAAGCCCAACCAGAACCTTCCCAGGTGCAATCCCAAAAGCAGGGGAAGAAGCTGACATAGATAGTAGTAGTGAACAATATCTAGTTTTAGTCTTGGGACAATTCCATAACAACATGTTGAGAACATTTCTGTAGGGCATTGCTATGAGCTATGTTTAGGCAAACCAAAGCAGAGCACAACTCAAAATGAAGTTCCCAATTGTACACAAAGATGTTTTGCTCAGTCACACAGTCTATTTGCAATATGTCTGAAACATTAGTTTTTCTTTAACTTATCAAAATAGTACCTAAAAGCAACCTATTTCTTTGTGCTTAAAGTTAACAAGGATGCTTCTCCTTTCTTAAACAGTTGTCATCCAGAAACAGGACAACACTAGTCGGTTGATGATATACCACAAATAGTCATCTGCAGAGACGAGGCTTTCAAGCAAAGAGCTTGTTAGCAGTCCACTGGCTGAAAATCATTTGTCTTTTTTTTTTTTTTTTTTTTTTTTTTTTTTTTTTAAAACCATTGATTAGAAAAACATGAAGTTGAGCTGGAGTACGAGGTAAAAAAACTTCACGTGTCTGTAGAGGTTTTATTCTGATTTTCACTGAAATTTTGACTTTAACATATACTGTGAGCTCTAGCACAAGTGGGACTACATTCACTGGAGGAGATCCTCTGCGGCAACCTGTCCAACTCCCAACAGATTTTAACTGAGAGTATCTGAGTAATGAATATTATTTTCAATGAATGTTTTGACCCATATTACCCAGACATTTCCTGTGAAGAGGACAAGGGCAAACCTGAGGTAAATTGCTGCCTGTTTGGCACCAAAACCTCATGATCTGAAGCCATTCAAGGGCACTCCATTGCCACCATCCAAGCCACTCTGAGCAGGTAGAGCAGGGCCAGGCCACTAAGAGGGCAGTTGTGGAGCAGGCCCAAGACGTGGAGAGAGCTGTTGAGATGCAGCATTGTCCAGCGCTTCCCCACTAATAACTGCTCCCAGATGAAACGCAACGGCCGCGGCCACAGCGTGTTTCTAGTAAACAAAAGAAGACGAATGCGTGCACATGGGTGGTGTGGGAGGACAAGGAATGCACCATAAGCTCCCAACTGTCATCACGTCTCACGCCGAGCCGGTTCCTCCTTCCCGGGGTTACCCGTGGTGGGAATGGCGGCACAGCTCCTGGAGCTCACGTGAGCAAGGGCCAGGTGTGAAGCACTGCATGTGCAACTGCAGGCCCGGCTCGGGTTTTTCTGAGGTGTTTCACATGGCCCTGAAGGGCAGGCGCCAGCAGGGCCGCTGCCGGGCGCAGGCCAGCACGGCTGCCCAGCTGCCGCCAGCACCGCTCTGCTTGCAGGGTTTACCTCAGGACAGTAAGCGGCCTTGTCTGAAAAAGAGCTCCTTTCCTTGGATAGGAACAGAATATGGTTTACTGAAATAACAGTTTAAAGCCATTTTAAAAAATTCCTCAATGTTTCCTGAGAGGACCTTAATTAATTAAATATATACTTCCTTCACTGTGGTGGGGGACCCTGAGACAGTCATAGTGTTTGGAGGGCTAGTTCACCTAGGGATTGGATGCAAGTTTTCCATTTTTTTATCTGTATGATAGAAACAGTGTCCTTACAAGATAAAATATTCAGATAGTGGAGCCAACCCCTTCATGGGCACGATTATATATGTCTGTGCCAGGTTTATATGACATCCAAAAATAATAAAATCAGTATAAAGCTGGGTCTGCTTAAACAGAAGATAAAGAGAAGCACATTTCCAAGTAAAAGTACTCGTGTCATTTCAGAGCTACTGGGTGCTGTGCATTGCTAATGAACCGCTTTGATGTTAACCTAAGATAACAGATAACAGCAGCCATTTGTCCTTTGAATCCTGACTGAAATCTTTCCCTGTAAGAAATTCTTGGCTCTTCAGAATGCCACTCTGATCTAGGGATCCCCATGAATTTCCTTCTCAATGGTAAGATTAGAGACATGGGAGTTCACGGGAGGGCAGGACAGAGCCAGGCTGCCCACTGGGGCCACACATTCTTCCATCTTGGGCATTGCTCCTAATGTTGCTCCCCGTGGCTACTTTGGAAGCCCAAACAGCTCCTGAGGCCCCATCTCCCCCATCCATGTGTTGTTTAGTTACAGCCAAATGGCAAGGTCTGATGCTCTCTCTGCATTAACGCTCAGTGGAGGAGACCAAGTGGTATTTGAAATTGCTGGGCAGGTGAAAGCCAAACTACACTTGCATGCAGTTCCCCCCGTAAGAACTTTTAAAGCAGGGCCTAAGCTAAAATGCTGGCTCTGACCCAAGTTCACACCGGAAGATGGCCCCAAATCAACCCTTTTCTCTGCAGCAGGAGATGTTGGCATTCACAGCAATTCAGCCAAACAGGCACAGAAATTATCTCCAGTCTTTTCAATTTTTGCTCATATCCCCCTCCCTAACCTTCATGCATCTTCTTCCAGCTTCTTCTATAGCTTTTTAAGCCTGCAGTAGTCTCTCAGATATACTAAATATAAATGTGTGGAAGCAGCTATATAAATAAAGTAGCCCATGTGGTGAGCATACGTGGGGGCAGGAGGTCTTTCCCGTGGAGGGGAAGGTTGATTGCTAAGCAAATCTCAAGCCCTCTAGTCCTGTGCAGAGAAGGACAGCATAAGATTTAGGAGCAATTGCACCTTTACATAAAGCAGCTGGGGTTTTTTTCCTGTATTTGGAGTGAAATGAACCAGGTACTGGCAGTATAAAGATATGCCTCTAGCACCAGGAGACAGAGACCTGCAGAAAAGAAAGTCAGGGTGTAGGAAGGGTGGTAGGGATCTTTTATGGATGGGTTTTATTCAACCAGAAGGGGAAGGATTTATCCAGTCGAACTATTGCTGTCATATATGTACATCATATAGCATATACATGCCATTCGAGGACAGCTCTGGGCATGTTGGGAATCATTTGTTTGATTGAGACCCCTGTTGTTATTTCCTGAAAGAGAAGAAACTCAGAATGGAAAATTAGGTCAGGGGGCCAGTTCAGGAGAAGACTGCCAGACGGCTGCCTTACTGTTTCCTGTGCAATGTCCCATGGCAGTGGGGGGATCTGACCCATTGTCAAGCGAGCGGATGTGTTGGGGGCTGCACTTAGTCTGGCGAGACAGGGTGTGTGAACTGTGAGTTTCACTGGTGCACACCCTGTACTAGGTTAGGGAGTGACTTCAGTATCTGCCACACAGTGACTCTCTACTTCTCACAGAAGCCTTTATCAACTCCTTGGCCTTGACAACTCTCTGGCCATATGAGGAGATCACAGCCAGCAATGAGTTGCAATGGGCATATTCTTGGCATGGTCACCTAAGGCAGATTTAATATTGCTGAGCAGAACCTGATTCTGCTCTTGTCTGTTCTTGTTTGTTGACCAAGTCAAGAGAAGTGCTTTCACTACAGTAAAAACATGGTGATGCTGCTCTAAATCTAGTGTGAAACCAGAGTGCTATCTCCGAGCTCTTTCTAAGTGCCCAGCCTTTCTCTACCTGCTTGAAACCACCTGCTTGAAACCTACATGTTGAATCATTTTAGACCACATAGTAAAATAAGTGATGGACCTGTTGGTTTTATTTGCTCTGTGGTCCTTTGGAAACAATGCCAATGTTTCCAAATGCCAAATGCTAAAATAAATCCTGCAGAAAAGGAACATTTTCATAAATAACCTGAGCTACATAGCTAGGAAGTCCTTAAGATTTTCCACATCTCTGCAGGCAAAAGCATGTGTTTTGTGTTGCTTCACATAAATCTCCCTGGTTATTTATCTATATAAATCCTTCTATAAATTATTTACTGGGCCTTGAAATGCAGCAAGCAAGCTCTTTGATGTATGCCTCATTCACCAGGTGAATCAATCATTGCTGTGCACACCGTGTTTGCTCCTACACAGGGAGAAGTTACTAGTCCTCTTTGCCAGAAAAGAGGGCAAAAAGTCAAATGGTTTTGATAGATGAATGCATGTCTGTGGGCTGACCTTGATGCACAGAGCTTGTTTATACTGAGAGTGATGGGCACTCCCTCCTTTTGCTAGCTGATAAAATACTCCTCCTCCACCCATCCTTATGAAATATATGCCAGAACAACAAACTACACATGCATATCGATTGCTTTGTGATCTGCTTTTATACTACTGCATTCCCCCTCCAGTAGCAGGTCCTCTCCATAGAAAAGTAAGTAAAATATCAGCTCTATTCTGTGGCATGAAGGTAGAGTACAGTTTTGTTATCTACCCACTCTTCACAAAGAGAGGTTTTACTCTTGACCATTATACCATAACCATAACTGTTAGTACTTAGTCTCAATCTTGCGAGCAAAGTATACTAATTTTGGTTACAGTTTAGCTGAGCACCTCTCTTCTTGATTGAAAGCTGCCATCTCATTTCATAAGGGGTGTGCAAACTCATTGACGGGTAGGTGGAATTCATCATCCTGGACTGAGCTGGCAGCTACCGAGAAAGGACTTGGCTGGCCTTGAGGACAGGCCATGATCTGTATTCAGGTGTCCCAACAGCAGCTGAGTAGGTGATTCAGAGAGAATATGTGGAATTGATTTACACAAATAGACTGGAGTATTCTCAGGGATAATATTTCTGCCTCTGCACTGCTCTTGTGCAACTATCTTGGGTCCACCCTGGACTCTGTGGTTTATTTGACCTATGGTTTGAGCCTGAATGCCTTTTATTACAGCCTCACTGTTAGAAATAAAGGTGGGGATGGGTCTTTATTCACTTCCCAACAAATCCACTT